TGAACCGTATGGCTTCAATGTGAGGAACACGTAGACCTAAAACGGCATGAACATAATGGCTTATTCACAGACCAAAGTCCATTGTATGAGATAGTATTTCTATTCACTGCACTTGGATGCCTCTGTAAGCAGTTTTAAAGTACACTTGTTAGCATATTTGAAACTCCATGAAACAGTGTCTATAATAATTAGCAAGCAATAATATTTAGACATTCACATCTTGCATTTGTCTCTTTCTGCAAAGGCCAGATTCAACCATTCTGTTCCATAAATTAGGTCTGATTTATTCCTCAGTTTGAAAGCAAGGGCCCTTTGACCGGTCTATTCTAAACAACAAGTGGAGTGTCTGTTCTGAGCGGTCCCTGCTCCAGCGGCTTCGAAGGCAGACGAGGGGCGAGGGCGATGGACTGGCACACGTCGGAGCATGACTAAAACGTACAGTCAGCGCTAGTCAGTGAATTGTGCTCCCGATTTGTCACTGCCACCTTGGAGAGCAGTGGGCATTAATAAAACATGGGGCTGGGGGAATCTATTAGAGGCTACCCTTGCAGAGAGGAATCAGAGAAATCAGCTGCGTGGAGTTCAGACGACACAGGACCCCTCAGACCGGAGTGTTCTGGTCACAAAGACATGCAACGCAATTTAATGTATGTGTGTATCGCCCTAAATCACAGACAACAGATCAAATATTCCGACTACTAACAAACAGAAAGGAGTAATGGGTCTATAGGGAGCAGGATGACCACTGTGGAAATGTTAATAAATGTACAGAAATGTCCCGGATCATCACTGTCCATAGACCTTCCTGCATCGGCAAGGAACTATTCAGAAACCCAGAGGGAGAAATGGGAGAAACCTTAGTGAGGCCCACATTGAGGGAGGGATCCAATGAGCTGAAGGCTGTAGATCCAAGACTGAGGCTGTAGATCCAGGACTGAGGCTGTAGATCCAGGACAGAGGCTGTAGATCCAAGACTGGGGCTGTAGATCCAAGACTGAGGCTGTAGATCCAAGACTGAGGCTGTAGATCCAGGACAGAGGCTGTAGATCCAAGACTGGGGCTGTAGATCCAAGACTGAGGCGGTAGATCCAAGACTAAGGCTGTAGATCCAAGACTGAGGCTGTAGATCCAAGACTGAGGCTGTAGATCCAAGACTGAGGCGGTAGATCCAAGACTAAGGCTGTAGATCCAAGACTGAGGCTGTAGATCCAAGACTGAGGCTGTAGATCCAAGACTGAGGCTGTAGATCCAAGACTGAGGCTGTAGATCCAGGACTGAGGCTGCAGATCCAGGACTGAGGCTGACTTAGATCCATAAGCACTTGCATATGGCACTTTGCTGAAGTCGCGGGTTCACATTCTCCATCTATATCAACGTCTATGATCAGTTCAAGTTCAAGCCATCTCATCCATCTGTCTAGAAATAAACGTAAAGTATCGTACTTCCATCCGTGGATTTAAAAAACAATCAAAATATGTCGCTTTGAAGATACCTCAGGGGGAGGGGGTGGGGGGTTTCTGCGCTCTGTCAGGTGGTCTCCGTGCTGCAGGTCCCGGCTCCCATTGTTCTAGGGCCAACATTGAGGGGCCAGATTTAATCCAGGGGCAAAACGGAGAAAGTACAGACACCTTTGGACTGAAAAGAGTGGCTTCAAAAGATGACATTGATTCCCCCGCTCCTGGTTGAAAGTCACAAAGACCTGATGTCCAGAAATGTGACGATGGCGTGAATCGGTTTTACGTTAAAGGACACAGGGTTCTTTGAATAGTTGTGAAACTGGGCAAACACAATGCGGCAGAAGGTCACGCTCTCGTTTCTTTACTGCATCACAAAGAACAGGAGACTAGACGCACAACAACAACAGCAACAACAACAACAAGGTCCAAAAGAAAACAAAGACCTCACACAGTCTACTGCACTTGCTTTTTTATCCCAGTATCTCTGTCAATGCGGTCTCTGGGGCCTCTGTCTCTGGGGCATCTGTCTCTGGGGCCTCTGTCTCTGGGGTCTCTGTCTCTAGGGCCTCTGTCTCTGGGGCCTCTGTCTTTGGGCCCTCTGTCTCTGGAGTCTCTGTCTCTCGGTTCTCTGTCTCTAGGGCCTCTGTCTCTAGGGTCTCTGTCTCTTGGGTCTCTGTCTCTGGAGTCTCTGTCTCTGGGGTCTCTGTCTCTAGGGTCTCTGTCTCTGGGGTCTCTGTCTCTAGGGTCTCTGTCTCTAGGGTCTCTGTCTCTGCAGCCTCTGTCTCTGGGGTCTTGGTCTCTGGTGTCTCCGTCTCTAGGGTCTCTGTCTCTGGGGTCTCTGTCTCTAGGGTCTCTGTCTCTGGGGCCTCTGTCTTTGGGCCCTCTGTCTCTGGGATCTCTGTCTCTAAGGTCTCTGTCTTTGGGGTCTCTGTCACTGGGGTCTCTGTCTCTGGGGCCTCTCTCTTGGGCCTCATTCACTGGGGCCTCTGTGTTTGGGGTCTCTGTCTCGAGGGTCTCTGTCTCTAGGGTCTCTTTATCTGGTATCTCTTTATCTGGGATCTCTGTGTCTTGGTTCTTGGTCTTGGTCTAAGTCTCTAATTCTAAGTCTCAGCAACCCAGCAACGGATGAAGCGGAAGAAAGTAGATGGATGATCACAATTACAACACTATACTTTATTACAACAGTATTTGCCCGTTATTATTAAAGGTGAATGACAAAACTCAGAAGGCTGAAGACATTGATGCATTTAATTAACTCAGACTGCCGCCACCACGCCGGATAAAGCGGAAGAAAGTGGACAAACGTATGTAGCTGTTCCTTCCTATCGTTCGCAGTGTGTTCTTGAGATAAGACAAAACACAAAAGACTGTTTGAAGTCGTGTTGTGAGAAACCGCTCACTCGTTCACATGTACTTCTGTCAAAGAACACAGAACGCTTTTTTCTTTCCAAATTCCAACTCTTTTCCAAATTGCCCGAAGACCCGTAATTCCGACGCCGATTCTTATTAACGGTAACCAGCGAGAAAAACCAGACAGAGAGAGGGGCTTTTGAACTAAGTTTTTGCAAAGTGAGAAAGTCGACGAACAGGACATCAATAGAGAAGTGAATACAAACAGGATCAGAGAGGGGCCCAGCAGGTGGTCTCTGCACGGCCGATTCCTCTGGCACCGGCAGAATGTGTGTGTGTGTGTGTGTGTGGGTGTGCGTGTGTGTGTGTGCGTGTGCGTGTGTGTGTGTGTGTGTGTGTGTATCTGTGTATCTATGCGTGTGTATTATGTCCGACACTCCACTGCCCAGGTCTGTGGAATGTGTCAGGTTTGCGTAGCTGGACAAAAATACATACTTTTATAGAAAAAACAACAAAAACAAAAACATTTCCTGGTTTTCTTCATATCGATGCAAAAAAATTAAAAGTGAGCACCCCAGAAGTTAGATTAAATATATCTTAAAGGAAATTCTTGTGCCAGAAAGCCCGGGTTCGATTCCTCCTCCGGGTCTTTCTGAGTGGATTTGCTTGTTTGTCTGTGTGCGTAGGTTTCCTCCAGGTGCTCCGGTTTCCTCTACCACTAAAAACATGTAGATTAGGCTGAAAGTAATGAGTGAGTGAAGGGAGTGGTGAGACCAAGGACGATTTACAATTATATTTAGATTTGCAAAAATATCACATTGTTTGTGTAGAAGGACTCGGTGTGTGTTTGTGTCTGTGTGTGTATGTGTGTGTCTCTATCTATGTATGTGTGTGCGTGCATCTGTCTCTGCGTGTGTCTCTATCTATGTGTGTGTGTGTGTGTGCATCTGTCTGTGTGTGTATGTGTGTGTCTCTATCTATATATGTGTGTGCGTTCATCTGTCTCTGTGTGTGTATGTGTGTGTCTCTGTCTGTGTATGTATGTACAGTATGTGAGTGCGTGCATCTGTGTCTGTGTGTGTACGTGTGTGTCTCTATGTATGCGTGCGTGCATGTGTCTCTGTGTGTGTATGTGTGTGTCTCTATCCATGTATGTGTGTGCGTTCATCTGTCTGTGTGTGTGTGTATGTGTGTGTCTCTATCTATGTATGTGTGTGCGTTCATTTGTCTCTGTGTGTGTACATGTGTGTCTCTATGTATGTGTGCGTGCATCTGTCTCTGTGTGTGTATGTGTGTGTCTCTATCTATGTATGTGTGTGCGTGCATCTGCAAACACAGATGTTTTAAATATTGTCATTTTGTTGGAGAAAAATCTTTGCGTGTGTATGTGTGCGTCTATCTATGTATGTGTGTGCGTGTCTATGTGTGTGTGTGTGTCAAAACAAAACAAGTGACCATACATCAGTTTTGGTAATTTCTCCAACAAAATGACAATATTTAAAACATCTGTGTTTGCAGCCGGTCACTTTCCATTTTAGAAAACTCTACCCCTCCCTCTGGTGGCAGCAGAGGTTACAGCTGGATCGCACAGTACACCTGTTTCTTAGGGTATCATTATAACTTAGCTTAGCAGAAATAGCTGAAAGGATCCATATTTCCACTTTAACACTATCAAAGGTCAAACCATCGATTAAATACAATAAAAGTTTTCTCTGGTTCAAACATTGTGTCCATAAACACCCGAGCAGACCGTGCACACCGGCTGCACCGCGCTTCTGATACACTTTCAACACGAGCGCATTGGCAGCTACACCTTTTAGCATTATCTCTCGGTCAAATCGCTCGCAACATGTCTTTTGAACACAATAAAAGTCTTTGCCGCTAAAGCGCGCAGAACAAGGCCTTTGTTTGCCGCCGCTCCGTCAGGACACACACCATCTGCCGCTTCCACTCCGAGCCCTTCCAACTTCTGGACTCCCGCAGGGTTTGTTCTCAGCCTCGTCTACGCCAGGATCTACTTTATCTACAGACAGGTGCGCGGATGAATACGCAGACAAGGGGTTTAGGAAGTGGCGTTTTTTGCATATAGGTGCGTGCACAGGAGGGATTTTCGGCATCGACCCGAATCCCTACTGGAAAGCGTTGAAAAGTGCGTGTGTCGGTGAGGAGCAGAGGGTGGCTTTAGCGCGCCAGATGGACCCCAGCACTCGGGCTGCGGGCCTGCCCCTCTGCTCCTGCCATCCGCCGCTTATTGGCCCCCGGCTCGGAAGTTTGAAGAGCCTCCATCAAAGCGTTAGCAGCACATCTGAAGCAACAAATGGCTCGCTGTAGTCCTCGCCCGGTTTTGCGCCCTCCCACCTTCGCCGAGGAGCAGGGACCTGGCCAAGGCGATGGACGCGCAGTGTGTGTGTGTGTGTGTGTGTGTGTGAGCGAGAGAGAGAGCCCAGTGAGACCGTCTCGTGATCCAGAATAAATAAATGATGAGTGTGAGAACAAAGGGACCTGCTGCTGCGGGAGACATGTCCGCCGCCCGCTCTGGTTCAGCCGTAGCAGAACTAGCATAACACGCTAGCACCGGTTCTGTAAATATGGTTCAGAGAGGATTCATCTCAGGTGCGGGTTGTTTACACTTGTGGCTTATCCCCTCCACTCACTGTCTCTGAGCCAGGACTTGAAGGATTCCACTTTAACAGAATTGTCCATGTTTTTTAATTCATTATTATTATGATTTAACATAGTGCAGACACAAACAGAAAACAATTCACAAAATACATAAAGTTGAACAAATGCAAAACCTAAATTCTTCTAATTTTAATGTCATTATAAGGATTTTGTCTGAAGCCTAATTTGCCATTTGCAGTAAAACCACACTGGAATACATTTTCAAAAGCCTCCAGCGTGCACCAGAACTCCCAAAGCCGTCAATTTGACAGCTTTTGGATTTTTGGACTCGTTTCTAAATGTAGTTTTTATTACATCATTAATCTATAAATGAGTCTTTTTTTTTTTTTTTACTTGAGGAGTTCTATTTTTGACGTCTTTCATTTGAAGATGAAATCAAAAGGTAACTATAATTATACACTTCTCAACCGCCAATGTGCTGGTCCTGGACTTGAACTGATCCTGAGTCAGCTCGCTCCAGAAAAGAGCTGGTGCTAGTTACCATAGCAACGCTCTGATTATTGTCAGCAGTTAGCATTAGCCTTTCAACAGCTTTCTGTAAAGGTACACACTGTGTGAATGACCTAATTTCAAGTTGATTTTTTTTATTTTTTATTTATTGATTTGAATGAGAGCCGTCAAAATGACTGCTCTGAAAGCCGTGGTGTTTAAAGTGCACGTTGAACTAGCTTGTGTCCTGTCTGCTACTACTGCTACTAACTTGTGCTAGTTTTTCCCGTGGTAAAGGCAAGATTATTGTTTTTCCCCCTGTGTGTATAAAACAATAATCTCACTTGCAGCCCTGCTTGTGCTCAAGGTAGAGTCGCTGCTCCACCGAACATCGGCAGGTGATTTTCTCTCAGTCTCGCCCGAGCGCTCCGTCCACTCCCCGCACATCCACCTCTCCTCCTCCTCCTCCTCCTCCTTCTTCTTCGGCAGGTTTGATCAATGCCTTCAATTAGAGCCGGCGTCCTGAGGATCATCTTGCGCTCCTGTCCACCCCCTGCCCGCCGCGGCGCA